AAAATTCACGAGTCGTTGTTGTATTCCTCCCACTAGATCCTCAGGAGGCTCAAGTATTGTCATTCTGTGCCAAAGTGAAGAAGCAACCAAGTTGTTACATACCAGAACCCTCCCCCTATAGGACAACTGCGGTAGCGACCAATTCCAACGAGACAACCTTGCACACACTTTCTCCAAGAGGCCTTCCCAGTTTTTCTTTTTAAACTCTTCTGTCCCTAAAAACACTCCTAAATACTTTAAACCTGCTCTTCCCCACTGCAGCCCACCAGGAAGCATTGGACCTTTAAGAACTCTGCCACACCATAAAGCATCACTTTTTCCCCAATTAACTACTGCTTTTCCAGAATTTCCAGAAAACTCTAAAGCCTGTTTAAGCACCTGAATATCACTTTGGTCTCTGATTATATCATTAATATCATCAGCATAGGCAGAGAGTTTAATAGAACAGTTTAGGGTGTTAATCTGTAGGCCCATTAACTGTCTTCTCAATTTACACAACAAAGGTTCAATTGCAATGCTGTACAGTTGACCTGAAAGTGGACAGCCTTGTCTGATTCCTCTTTTAACATTCACAGGGATACTTAACCCACCACCCATTTTGATCATACATGTTGCTTTAAAAGTTAAAAGTTTAATCCTTGAGATGAATTTTTCCCCAAAACCAAAAACATCAAGGGTATCAAACTATGATCAACGATCAACCCTGTCAAAAGCCTTTTCTTGATCCAGGGACACCAGGCCCATGTTGACATCCTCAGAATAAGCATAATCAAAAACATCCCTGATTAAGTGAAGATTATCCATGATTGACCTATTTTTAACACAATAAGACTGATCTTTGTGTACAATTTCATGCAGCACATTATTTAATCTCTTTGCTAAAACCTTGGACAAAATTTTATATTCTGTACACAAAATTGCAACAGGTCTCCAGTTCTTTAGAAGAGTTAAATCTCCCTTTTTTGGGGGCAATGATAAAACAGCACGTTGACAGCTAGTTGGAAGAGTACCTTCACTACAGCATTTCTGAAGTACCTTAAAATAGTCATCTCCAATTATTGTCCAAAAAAATGTATAAAACTCGGCCGGTAGTCCATACAAGCCAGGACTCTTGCCTGAGAGACCCTTTACAGCCAGAGAGACTTCCTCAAAAGAGATAACAGTCTCTAAATGCTCTTTATGATCTTCAGATAAAACAGGTAAGTCTTTTAGAAGCTCTCTTCTACAATGTTCATCAGAGATTTCAGCAGTGTACAAATTAGAATAGAAATCAACAGCAAGCTTTCTCATTTCCTGAGGGTCTGAGGTAACGTCCATTATTGTCCTTCGACGAAAGCATCAATTTCTGCTGACCCACTTTACACTCTAGATTAAAAAAAAAATTAGTAGGACCATCCATATCCTTCAGAGTTGAATAATGGTTTCTTATGAGAGCTCCTTTAACCCTTTCATCCAAAATTAAGCTTAAATGTTTTTTTCTTTTCAGTCCAACGTTCTTTTAAATTAACAGCATAATTTACAGTCATATTCATTTCAATATTAACAATCTCTGTTTCCAACCACTTTAATGTATTTCTTAAACACACAGAGGAAAAAGCAGAATAATTCTGAGAGAAATCTCTTATGTGCACTTTACCAACTTCCCACCACTGTATAATACTTTCAAAAAGTCTCTTTTCTGTTTGCCATGCTTCCCAAAAAGACTTAAAAGCTTCACAAAAGTCTTTATTTTCTAAAAGTTTAGTATTAAAATGCCAGTAGCAGCTCGTATGTGTACTTTTAGATAGGGTAAAACCAACCCTAATGAGTTTGTGATCAGAAAGTATATTAGGAATAATTTCAGTACTAACAACTCTATTTTTCAGGTTACAAGATACATAAAACCGGTCCAAACGAGCAGCAGAAATCCTATCATCACAGACCTTCACCCATGTATATTGTTTTATAGAAGGATTGTGCTCTCTCCATACATCTAAGAGGTTCAGCTTTTTTATTACACCAGCTAAAGAGGAAGCTGACTGTGCATGAGGCTCTTCCCCATTTCTATCAAGAGTAAAATCAAGAGTACAGTTCCAGTCACCCCCTACAACAATAAACACGTCTTCATTTTCTTCTTTAACTATATTTTCAAACTTCTTGAAAAGTAAACTCCTTTCTGCTCCAACATTAGGAGCATAAATATTTACAAACAAGAATTTAAAATTACTAATTTCAGCCTTAACAATTAAAAACCTTCCTGGCTCTACTTCGTTTTTTGACAATACTTTCACATTTACAGTAGGAGAAAAAAGAACAGCCACACCAGCACTTAAATTAGTCCCATGACTGAGAACATACTCTCCTTTCCACCATAATCCCCAGTTAACTTCATTACTACAAGTACTGTGAGTTTCTTGCAAAAATGTCACGCTCAGATCTTTCAAACCAATAATTTCTGATAAAACCTCATTCTTTCGTCCATCCCTCATCCCATTGACATTAAGAGAACCCACCCTTAAGATCTCCATAAGGAAGAAAGAGAAAAAGAGAAAACAGATCAGATGGAAGGAGAAATTTTCAGCCATTGTAGTTATTTAGATTTTCCCCTCGCTTTTCCCATCGTTCTTCCTGATCTAACAACAGTTAAGTACTTTTTAAGATGAAATCTTTTCTGTTGTGAAAGCTCATCATAGCTACTTTCTTTCCTAAACCACATTACTGAAGAAATAAACTTTTCAACATCTGGGAAGTAATCTCTTATTTCAACACCTGCTTTTCCTTTTGTCTTATCAAGAAAAGAATTGATCTGCTCAAGGGGATACAGATTTTCCACAACCTCCTTAGACATATCAGGCCACTGCTCATCATCTCTCATTCCATCATCAGTATACTGTGATAAACTCTCAGTCTCATCAGCCATATTTTCCTCAGAACCAAGATTCTGTGCAGTATCATCATCAGCATCACTCTGATCATTTTCTTTACAAACACTCACAGCTTTATCAGGTAAATAACTACTTCCAGACTGCTCCACACAGCCAGCATTAACAGCAGAGTCACTCACCTCCTGCTGCCCGTTCACCTCCTCTGTAGCTTCTTTAACTTCTTTCCTCTGTTATTTACTTGAGGCTCAACATCGTTTTCCTCACCACGAGATGTAGAAGCGCGCTGTTCTTCTCTACGCGGACACATAAAACGCTTGTGGCCCAAATCACCGCATTCAAAACACTTCAGACTCTCAGTGCTCGCATACACCATGAAGGAATTCTCTCCATGAGTAACACGAAAAGAAACACAGTTCTCCAGCGCTGGGATTTCAAAGGGGAAAACAAACAAAAGCACTTTATATATATTTATTCATGAGTGAAGAAACAACTCTTCTCGTGAAAGTGGCAGAATATTCACTTCATTTGTGATTTCTGTACAGCACACTGAAAAAAAATTATTCATTGAATTTAATAATTTTTTAAAGGTAATTCGTTGCAATCAATTTATTTTAGCTACATTTAAATAAGCAAATTATAGTTGACTAATTTTCAACATTTAAAAAAAAAATTGAGCTAAAATAAATTGTTTGCAACGAATTACCTTGAAAAACATTTAGTATAATTTTTTTCAGTGTCGCTTCCCTAAATCTAAATTATGACATATAAGTCATAATAATGGCATAGAAAGACATAATAAAAAGTAGAACTTATGACATAAGTTGAAATGATCAAGAATATCAGCACTAAATAATGTATTTCTTAAATAAAAAGCCAAAAAAGTTATGTTTAAAAAGTAAAAAAAAAAGTAATAAGATTAAAGAGTAGAAATGATGACAAAAAGTTGAAATGATCAAGAAAATAAATAAAATATATTTGTAAAAAAAAAAATTCTAAATATTTCTTAAAAGTCAAAATGATGAGATGGAGAAGTAAAAATGTCATAATTATAAGAAAAAAGTTGAAATTATAACGTATAATTATAAGATAAAAAGTACACATTAGGACATACCACGATTATTAAATAAAAAGTTGAAAAAAAAAATGTGGTTTACAAAGTCAAAATTACAAGATCTAAAAGTCAAAATTATGCCCAAAATTTTAATTATAAGATTAAAAAGTAATAATTATTAGAACAAACTTGAAATTATGATATACTAATTCATAATTATGAGATAAAAAGTAGGAATTAAAATTTGTGTTGAAATTATCCCAAAAAAATCAACACAAAATACTGCAATTAGTCAATAAAAACTAAAAATAATTTTTTTACTATTAAATTAAAAAGTCAAAATTACGAGAATGAAAAGTCAAAAATTAATGCAAAATGTTTTAATTATAAGATTAAAAAGTCAAACCTATGGCAAATAATAATAATTATGATAATCCTAATAATCCTAATTTTTTATCTTATAATCATGACAGTATAAATATCTGATACAGAACTGCTGGACATTTTATCCAACATTAATGACTGTTATAAAAACAATAACATTTACACTGAATTTTCCTCATTTAAGATCCTGCAACACCAAAAAACATCCAAAAAACAATCATCCTCTATTCTGATTACACTCTTTGAATGCAAAATCTGTGAATATGTATATTAAATATCTGACATGAATGTACATGTTTGTTTTCTTTTGTACCCAACAATGTTGACATACATTCATGCATTGTGCGGAAAAAACACACTTTGTGTGACACTTGAAGAAGCAGGAGGCTGTGTCAAAACAATTAAAAATATCATTACACGTTCAATAGATTGATGTAAATGAATGAGGTTTTAATGATCTGTGGCCAACTGGGTTACAGCCGTATTTAACATCCAACAAGTTGATAAATCAGCTGGCACATGGCTGCTTTACACAACACATGGTCTGTATGCTAATAATGAATCTGAGTCAACAGTGTGTAATGCTGACATCACGCAAACAAACACTTGGTGATACGAATCATGTTTACATTTGCTGAAGGCTGCAGAGACTCTGTTGACTCCTGCACGACTTGCAGTGTGCCGTGAACCACTTTAAAAGCCCTACAGTACATAACGTTTCTTCTGGTGTTTTCCTCCTGATTCTACTTCACTTTGACAGTAATGGATGCACGGAAACACAAAGGTAGTGTGTCCGTTATGCAACAGCCGCATGAATGCTGCTGCCTCGAATGCTAGGCTTTTCTTCAGCGTTTGCATTTGCCGATAAAGGACTAAAATGTACTGAGAACCACAACAAAGACCCACTAACCAGCTGAGTTTGAGGAGAAAACTAGAAAAAACTAGTTCATCCTGAAATGCATTTCCACTGCAAAACGCAGATGCATCAAAATAAATAAGATTTATGAAATGATGTTTGACTAATGAAGTAATGTAAAGTTTTTGTTTACATAATATGTGTGTTTACTGTGTATATTTATTATGTATATAAATACACACACATCAAGTAAAATCAAGTAAAGCTGAGCTGCTTCAGTCCAGTAAGTGTTCATCTGGAGATATTACTGCAGTTATTCTGACCTTTACTTGATAAAAATCAGTCAAGATTTGACACGAGAAGCAGCAGCTGAAGCTGGATGTCTGTACAATTACACTAAAAGAGCTTTTACTGGATAAAAAAATTCAGTGTTCAACAGGTTTAAAAGCAATGTTTTGATCATGTAGAGCCTTAGAAATGTGCATATCTAATATTATCTAGTAGGCTTTTAAAGCATGAAACAGACTCATGTTTTGTAATACAGATTGATGAGTCACATGACATCCACGGCACTGCTGATTGGCCGTGCGAGTCCTCATGAAGATGGCAGCATGGAGATGCATGCACATACTAACAGATAAACTCTCTCCAGGTGCATTAAACCTGAACAATAACCTGATGCATCTCAAGCAGATTTACCTGTGATCAGATTGTCCACCAGCGTGATGGGAAGGCATAAGATGCCCACCAGCAGGTCACTGATGGCCAGGTTGAGTATGAAGATATTGGTGACGGTTCTCATCTGCCTGTTTTTCAGCACGATGAAGCACACCAGGATGTTTCCCAGCATGCACAGCGAGAAGATGAGCACGTAGGCCAGGATAATGACGGAGGCCACGGTGAGGGAATGCTGGTAGAACGGTAAGAGCGTGAGGTTTCTGCTGTCGTTGAAGAGCGTGCTGTGGTTAATACTGATGTTCTCGCTGTAGAAGTTGTTCAGATCCATTGCTGAGAGAGTTTCCAAATCTAAGACTGAGAACAGAGGGATGTTTGCTCAGAAATTACAGTTCTTTTGTCTTTGTTTTTTCAGCACAAATATCTTACATTTACTGGAGATCCAAAGTGCTTCAGTCTTGTTTTCTGAAAAAATGCCTTGTTGAAATGTTGAAAACAAGAGAAAATATCTGCCTGTGGGGTCAGAAAAATAATCTAGTATTCCCTTTGAATTAAATAGATTTTTTTGGACTCCATTGGCAGATATCTGTTCTTAATTTAAGCATCAACTCAATGCATTATGATTGATTTTTTCAGAAAACAAGACTTCTGATGTAATTTTGCATCTGAAGTAAATGTGTGTTAATTTAAGAGCGTTTAGGGGTCAAAGACTAAACTTTAAATGTTGGCATCAAATTAAATTTACAAAAGTGATTTTATGTACACAGAAAGCATATTACATGCAAGTAAAGTGTCTGCTTTAATGTTTCAAATAACTTTTTTGAAAATTAAATGTCAAAATATGGGTGAGATAATGTTCCATTGTCATTCAGCGTAACAGATATATTTGTGTAAAAATGAAAAAAAACATACTTATTCTGACCTGAACTTATTAAAGTATATAAAAGAATAAGGGATCTTATTAAATTTGATTATATTTTAGATGATTAAAAACGTATTAGAATTTTTATGTGGGTATTTTCTGTAAAGCATGGTAAAAATGTATGTTAGTCATTATTTTTCTCCGAAATTTTAATTTGAATTTAAACGTTCATTCATTTACTCACTCATTCTCACTC